TACTGACTTGCCCCATATTGTGTGTTGCCTTTCCCTTCACCAGAATTAGCTCCTATCAACTGTCCAGTCTACTCTCCAGTTAGTACTTTTCCCTGCCTCCCTCTTTATTTCCTGGTAACCATCAAAAATGTGTCTTTCTGTATGTGAATCTATTCTTGGCTTTTTATAATAGTGATTTTGCACAATATTTGCCCTTTTGTTATTATTTTACTCACATTTTCACTCATTAATTTCATCCATGTTGTGAGATGTTTAGGAGGTTCATCATTCTTTATTGTTGCATAGTATTTCATTGTACATATGTATCACAGTTTCTAAATCCATTTGTCCCTTAATAGGTTATTCTTTTATATGTCTCAGAAATGTTTGTGTGTACTTATTGGCAAAGTACAAATACACCTTTTCTAAAATGCTTGTTTGTTATTTTTTAGCTTTCATAATTTAAAGTGTTTTCAAATAAAACACACACAAATATACTCTATTGTAAGGATTTTCTTTTTTCTTGCACACTTTTTAAAAACTGAACTGTCTTACCCTGTCAGTCCTGGGTTAGCAGTGCAAAGACCCGAATCTAATACTATTGTTACTGTGCCATCAACCAAATGAAGATGCAACCCATGGCTAACAGCACTACTCATCAATTAGTATTTCTTAGGTCAAATGAAAAACAGAGCTGTATACCTTTTCTAGATCCTTGTCTCAGATGTGAAAAACCTTCTGTCTTATACTTCCCTTTTACCGTCCCTAAAAGAATGAGCTGTAGATCAATCTGGCTCATTACCAGGCACTGATAACTTGATTTGTGCAGAAGATTCTGCCAAGTGTCCTTGTGCTGCCTAAGCACTCAGGATTTAAGTCATTTTACCTACCACTGTCTAACATATTTGCATATTGAACATTATTGTAAGTTGATAAATTGGAATGGATTTTGAGAAAAGGAAATATTTCCCATTAAAATTTGAAATTTCAAAAGTAATTGTTTCCTTTTTAGCTAGTACATTTTAATGTTAATGACTTTTTCAAAGGACTGGGGGATGGTTGATAAGTATTTATAAATTCATTCTTCAAAAATTATTGAGATGCTTAGAGGTTTCTGACTTTAATAAAGGCTGCAAGAATAGATTGTTCTTTATGTGGTTGCTTATTTAGAGATTCCTGACCGTCTTCATATTTTGTTTTTGGTACTATTCAAGCTCCCAAGAGTCTGCCTTCATCCCTGCCTTCTTCTCAAGTATGCAAGTAACAGACATTGTATAACCCAAACTATATCATATATTCTTTTCCTAAAAACTGATCTAGTGCTAGAAGAATAACTTAACTTTTTACATTTCTTTTAAAAGTCCCAAAGTAAGAGATGAAAAGGGAAAATACTTAAAAAGTGATAGCAACAAAAAAAAACAAGTAATGGCTTTTTCTAGCTTAAAACATCTAGTAAGTAACTGAGTAGTTAAAGTGAATTTTGTGCATGATTCTAGCATTGATAATTAAGGCAGCTCAGAAAACTGTCTCTCGAGTCCTGGTGTGAGTAGTTTTAGCACTTAAGGAAATCATGTGTGACTATAATGCATTTTAAACTCCATTGGAAAAGAAGTGCTCCATCTTATATATATATATTATTTATAAAAGGTTTATTTGAAGCATTAGTCTCCTGCACTTCTTCCCACTCTAATATAAAATTCATTGTACATAGTTTGTACTAGGTTGGTTTCTCTATAAAATGAATTTCCAAATTGTGATTGGCAACAGTGAATCCTTCCAAATATAATATCCATACTGCAATTGTGATAAAAGATATTTCAGGAAAATTAACCAAATTGAAAAGTTTTGTAGAATGTTTATTTAAAGTTTTTATAAATGCTATTATAAAATCATTACTAGCAATTTTGAATTTATTTCACATAGAGTTTAGTGTCAGAAACCCATGGGGGCACTCTAGAGTTACCAAGAATCAGAATTGACTTGATGGCAGTGGATTTCATTTTGGTTTAGATTTCTAAACTTTGGGAAATTTAGTAAATACTTTTTATGGGCACTTAGAGCTAAGTGTCTAAGAAGCAGCTAAGTAGTATATGGAGCCATTTAACAGAAGATAAATAGACCATTAGATAAAAAAATATCAGTGAGTTAGCCCCCTTTGTTTCAAATATTGCATGATATTGCATAGAAAGCGGAGCGGAGGCCTTTGCAGAATGCTGGTCAACTGTGGACAGAGATACTGGTTAGGTCATTTAGGCACTATTTTGCTTTTCGACCCTTTCTAGGTTTGGCCTAAGAATCGTCAAATACTAAAGTTTCTAAACATTCGTTTAGATGCATCAGACAGTAAGATAAAATCCAGTAGAGCGGATTTATTAGAATGAAGCATTGCTTTTTAAAAATAGGATAAGAAAATGCCACTTGAAAGACTTTTGTAAGGAAAGTGCCAGGATTCCTTGAAATTAGTAAAAGAAAGGCAATTTGTAGCAAGCTAAATTAGAAGATACATTTTAGAATAAGACCGTTAGGTTATGATGAAACAAAAGTATACTGAAAATTTCTGTTGTGTATTATACTGTACAGATCTTTAAGTCCTATTTTGGCTGAAAAGAAAAGTGTCCAGCAAATATTTTGATATTCAAAATTCCCGTCTCACAATGTCCAGTGTTTTGGAGAAGAGCTTTTTCAGGAAAGTGGTGTGTTGCATTTTACATGAAAAAGAAAACACTGTTCAGTAAGATTGATGAATAGAAAAAGAAGAGTCATTCTTTAAACTGGAAAGAGAAGCCCGGCAGTGATTGTTTGGTAGCTTAGCTTCGGGGAGACTTTTGTGATGATGTGCGTTGTGTGCCAGCTCAGATGGAGTAAAGTGATCCATGATCTGCTCTTCTGACCCCACTTTCTTTATGAGAGAAATGAGCTGAAGGTGTGTTGTCTTCTTTTTATTCTAACCTAGAAAAGTTGTTCTAAAGTATGTCCATTTGTTTTCTATGGTAAGTCAGGGAAGGTTCAAAATTCACTGCAGAATTAAATACTTAGGACATCGTTTACAGGTTTCGGATTCCTTCATTAGGCATCTATCTGTTCACATGATCTGGCCCCTTGTTTTGTGCTCTATACCATGTGTAATAAAGGTATGTGCATCTCAAAGGATCATGCAAAAATGTAAACCAACTAAATTTCTAAATTAGTATTCCTTTTTTTTTTAATCCAGAATTACTCCAAGTCCACTGGGAACTCACCCAACAGTTTTCATTTGCAGTATTAGGAGATAGATATATATGATATATATGTATGTGTCTATAGGTATATACACATCCATGTATATTTTCACATTTCTGAATTATGACTTAAAATTTAATATTGGAGCAACAAGTATTCGTTAATTATACTTTTTTGCTTTGTCTGAACTGTTTGCCAGATGGTTTCTGCTGTGGGTATGTTAATTAAACACTGCCTAATGCTTGCTGTGACTCACACTGTACCTTGACAATTTCCCATTTTATGGCATTTGTTAAGTGTCACTTCTTTAACGTACTTTCTTAAGCATTTCCCTTCCCCCGCTTTTATTTGAGTTTGCTCTTGTTGTTACTGCAATGCTGATGTGTAATGTTTCATAGACACATGTGCTGAGTGGTCCCTCAGATTCACAAATGTTGCCAAACTGAAAAGAGGATTCCAGATACTTCTATAAGCCTGTCTCAGCTAAGCTACTTTTGGAATGAGCTTGTTGAATAAAATGTGCCCAAAATTGCTCATTAGTCGTGGTGATGGTGATACATTTTGACCTCGGGAGATAGAACTAGTTAAAGGTATTAGTGACTGTTGCTTTAAAAAAATTGAAATAAAGGTATTAACAAAAATACTGTTCAATAGATATGCAGTGTATTGTTATGTTTATTTGTAATAAGGAAGTTGGAATTTGGGGGAATAGAATGCAATGTGAAGTAAACTTGAGTGCAAACTATGTAAAGAATTCCCAAACAGCCTAAAATAGAAATGAATGAGAATGCCTTACACTTTTAAGGGTGGCTATGTATTTGATTTTTAATTCATTGCACACACTGGCAATTAGCAACAGCATTGCATCAAGCATTTTTACTGTACTGTAAGGTCCTTTTAGTTTATGTTTAAAATCCTGATGGGTTACATGAATTAAGATAATGTTTTACAGATTGGTTTAGCATAAGATGGTATATTGTGGAAGTAGAAAAGTCTAATGATGAGTTTTGTCTGCTAATTGTGTCACAGCTGTTAGAATGTATGTTCAGATTGTGTTCCACTAGCAGAGAAATCACATATTAAAGCTGTCAAAGTCATAGAAAGTTTGAGCATTGTGGCAGCCGTTAGTCGTCGTATCTTGGTGTTTCCTTTTGGATAGCTGATCCCTCTTTGAAGAGACTGGAGAAACAGTCGATTCCCAAATGAAAGTGCTGAGTGAAACTACTGCTTACTTCACTTTGCTGTAGAATTCTTTCATAAAATTGAGTTTTAAATTAGATTATCCAGTAGCAAAGAAATTTCTAAACCAGGTTATCATGATAGCTCATTTCTACAAGCTATATATTTGAGAAAGGAATGAGAATTCTTTTTCTCCAGTAGGAAATTTAGTTATTGTTCACAAATAATAAATTACTAGATACGGACGACTAATGATAGAGAGTTTTGATTGGGTATAACACATTTAAGCCTAAACATCTTTAGGCCCTGAAGTGAGCAAGGTACTGCGTATTAGTCAGTGATGTCTTACAACCTGTTGGCTGGCTTGCTGCAACGTAAGGCCCTTGAAATAGATGCCGTCATCAGCCCTAGAGTCCCCAGGCGCTCCTCTGGTTAAACACGTGGAGGAAAGTGTGGCAGCTATTTGTGTGGTAGGAGTGGTTATTCTGTCAGGTCATACTTTATTATAGCTGGTAACTTTTGAGTTAAAAAATTGCAGCTGTCTCTTTCCTTACATCTTCCTCATTCTCTATTACAACAAACTCATTAAAATCTTTCTCCTTACAAACAGTTTGTGTAGATCCAAGGAGCAACAAATCTCACCCTCTTTACTGTAGCAGTGATGGTCTTCTTGTCTGTTTCTGTAGGTTTCTATCCTCTTTTACATTTTGTTTACTTATTTATCTTTAAGGCAACGGACAACCCAGACGTAGATCCATCCAAGACTTGACTGTTACTGGAACAGAACCTGGTCAGGTAAGACTCGGCGTCCAACTCCTCTTTCTTTGAAGAGTAACAATAGGTGGAAATGAAGAAGTAGCTACAGTGCGCTCTGCAAAGGTTGTTTTCTGAGTTGCAATAACTTTGAACTAAAATTCTGATAGAGAATTCATTGACACTGGAACTTAAATACTGAGGGGAAAACTATAGATACTCTTAAGAATTTGGCAGGAAGGGTAATTTGTGAAGGTAAACTGATCAAACTGGGAAAGTAAATTCTTCAGCAGTGTTTTATGTATACTATATGGTTTTTATATGTTCTATTAAGGGAGTTTTCAAATTTGAAATTTATTACTTGGTCATTTTGCTATCACCTTTTCACTAGTGAGGGAATAAATACTACTTCAATAAGATGCCTCTCCCTTTTGGGTCGGTCACATGGTGCATTGACTTATACCTGGAGAACTAAAGATCTTTTAATTTGGTATATCATTAGAATGATATATTGTGAAATATCCTCAAGACATTATGTACTAAGCAATGGATAAGCTCTAGAAAGACTTCTATTCTACGTGGTAGGATTTCTATTCTTTAATTCTGGAGATTCTTAGCTCTCATTACATCTTTATTCCTGCTTCTTTGTAGTTTATCCAGACAATGCTGTAATAATTTAAATCAAATCCTGGAATTCAGTAGTTTTACCCAGCCAGTTAAATAAATCTAACGATTGCTTTTTGTTTTTTATTCAAGTTAATTAACATGATACATATTTAGTTTATGTATATTCAATAACGTGAATAAGGACTAATATTGAGGGATGTTTGTATTTTTTTTTCTCGTTTGTGCTGAAATGTTTTATGAGTATAGCATGCATCTAAAGTAATAGAAATACATCATCACTCATAGTAACCAAAAGTTTTAGTATATATTACAAGCTAATTCATTTATGCTAACATATATTAGTTTTTTCATTCTAGAAAGTTTTTTTATTATCTCATTTTTATAACATACTGTAAATTGCAAAATTCTTATGTAGTCATTAATAAAATTTTGAGAACCTTTAAAGTCATCTGTTTAATTTTGGAAGCTCTTTATAGTAATTAATTAACTTTAGCAAAAACCATCTGATAAACAAATTGTAAATACCTTTGAGCTTCACTAATATCTAGAAATATTTTTATTTTGCAATGCATAGAGCCTATTCACACAAACATACATACATCAATTTATACATTTTGTAACATTTTAGTGACTCCGAACCTCCATTTCACCTGGCTAGTCAAAATGTCTGGTTTTTGTGCATCCCAGAACTTTTGGCTGAAGTTTTCCATTTTCCTCCTCAAATACTTTAAGATTTAATCAGCCCATTTAGTAATAAATAGTTTGACATCTGGCATTTGCTTTGATTCCTTAGAGGCTTGATGAGCTCAGCCTTTTAAACTCTGTTTATTATCGCCATTGATACTCCAGTTATGAGAGCCATTAGCGAAGTTCTCTCTTTGAGCAGGAATGAGAGGCTTGCCCTCTGACACTTCTGAAATATCTGCTGGTACAGTACTTTTCTCTATAATGTAGAATAAACTGTAATTTAACTCCGATCTCCACTCCAAGCCTTACTGGTTTCCTCTAAGTTTTGTATTGCTTGCCCTATAGTTGATATCCGTTTTAAGTTGCAGTGCCTTCTAGTTGTCAAACAGGGGAACGGAGGCAAACTCTGGTTAGGGGGAGAGTCTGTTTGACAGAATTTTCGTAATTGGAACCAGGGGAATAGTATGGAAGTAAAATGTGTTCTAAAACAGATGATATGTTACTATTATATAGTGTATTTTAAAAATTAATCTAGTCTTTAAGATTAAAGTGCCTAATTTCACTTGGGATTGATGGTAGAATACATGAATCTTAATTCCTCTGAAAATGTCAGGGTAAATAATCATTAAATCTTTTTACTCATGAAAATCAGACAATAAGGGTTTTCCAAGTTTGAAGGTGTAGATCCTTGTGAAATCTGCTGGGGTAGTAGCTAGATAAGTCCTCAGCTCTTTCTGGCACAGAAATGGAAAGTGAGTGTCAAGAAAAGAATTTGACCCACCCAACACGATCTTCAAAGGGAGAGAAAGAACTTAACTCGTAAAGAGGGCGTAACATAGAAGCAGAGGCTGTGAGAGACTTGGGCAAGTTTCTCTAGTCCTCACCTTGCTTATCTGGCAAATGAGGAAAATTAAAAAATACCAAATGTTTACTGTTAAGATGTAAATAACGTACATGAAAGCCGGCACTGCACACAGCTGTCACACAATGTAGGGCTGTTGTGACTTTTACTCCCGACTCAAGACAGTGTCACGTAAAACCACATGGACTCACCATCTGAAAGTGGATTTTAATTGGTGGTTTTGTATTATTGCCCCTATTAAGAGGAATTTTGAACAAAGCAAGATTCTTAGTTAAAAGTTGTGAGAAGGTACATGTGTAAAAGATTGTATTCTCACAATATGCAGCGAACTCACTTTTAAACATGACTTTTTTTCAATATGTAAATAATTTGGGGGCTACTTTTGAGCTCTCATAAGGGACCTGGCTTCTAGAGACTTTGAAGAAACTGGTGTTCCGGTGTCAGTGTTAGAAGCCGGCCAGTCACTCACAGTTAGCTGTGCTGTCCTTCTACTGGACATCCCGTCTATACTCGAGTATAAACCGACCCAACTATCAGCCGAGGCACCGGATTTCATCACAGAAACTGCATTAAAACAGATGATATGTTACTATTATATAGTGTATTTTAAAAATTAATCTAGTCTTTAATATTAAAGTGCCTAATTTCACTTGGGGTTGATGGTAGAATACATGAATCTTAATTCCTCTGAAAATGTCATGGTAAATAATCATTAAATCTTTTTACTCATGAAAATCAGACAATAAGGGTTTTCCAAGTTTGAAGGTATAGATCCTTGTGAAATCTGCTGTGGTAGTAGCTAGATAAGTCCTCAGCTCTTTCTGGCACAGAAAATGTGCTGAAAAACTCAGCTTATACACCAGTATATACGTAAGCCACCTCACAGCACACCAAGCTCTGACAGGGTTACCCTGAGACAAACATGACCATTTCATAATGTCCAAGCACACATGAAAACAAGGTCACTGTCCCACCAGAAAATACCAACCATCAATCTGCCCCAATTAATAAGAGTGGTTGCTGCTGCTTCCCAATTACAGCTGTATATTTACTCTAGTCTGCCTTCCTTATAGAATTGCTTGTGGTTTCTGATAATACCGAGTGAAAGCAAGCCCTTGCATGCTTCTACTTTCTCCAAAAGCCCAAATCCTTCTTACTGAGACATCCCCCATCTCCTGATGGACGTTCTCCTTTGCTGCAATGGATAATAGACCCAGCTCATTCCACCAATGGTGTATTCTTGATGGACTTTGACTGGAAACCTTGAAGCCCCAGTCATACAAGAACTTTTGTAAGCAGAGAAGACTTAAACCCAGATCAATGGGCTTAAGAAATATTAATACCAATGCATTGTGTGTCAGTTGTGTGCTGTGCCAGCCTTTCATGTACATTATTTAAGTTTTGTGTGTATATATATGTATATATATTTTATTATTCTTACTTTTATTGGGGCTCTTACATCTCATCACAATCCATACATTCTTCCAGTGTGTCAAGCACATTTGCACATGTGCCGCCATCATCATTTTCAAAGCATTCTCTTCTCGCTTGAGCCCCTGAAATCAGCTCCCCATTTCTTCCCCTTTCCTCCCCCCACCCACCCTCCCTCTTAAACCTTTGATAAGTTATAGATTATTTTCATATCTTACATCATCCTCCATCGCCCCTCACTCACTTTTCCGTTGTTCATCCCCGAGAGGGGTAAATCTGGTATTTTTATTTTTGCTCATTTTGCAGATAAGTAAAGTGAGGATAAGAGGAGCTTACCCAAGTCTTTTACGTCTCATACACTGCCATAATTGTTAAAACCAGGTTTTGAACCGAGCTCTGTCGACTTCCAAAGCATTCAAACTGTGTGTGTCCTTAGCTGCCGTCTAGTTGATTCTGGCTAGGGGGCTCCTTGTGTACAGAAGAAAACTGCTCACTGAAATGACATAGTCTTGTGCAGGGCTGAATACTTTCTGGAATTGCAACAAATATGGGCCTATTTTAAAACATTTCTTCTGGAAGATGCTGCAGTTGGTGAAAAGCAGAACGACAACATGATACAATTATGATTATTTTTAGAGAATTGGACGTACTACATTTCTAAATGAACTTTAGAATCTACTTTTCTAGTCAAAGGTGTGCTTTTATACAAATTTCTTTCTTAATGCCCTGAATATCAGAAATCTTATCTACAATTGAAAGCCATTATACTCACCTCTCAAGGTGATTCTGAGCGGTGAAAGTACCAAACACATCTGTGGGTGCTTACTGCAAGCTGTATGCCTGCCTCCACATGGGATGCTTCCCAGGGTTCCATTGCCTCCTTCTTTCTCACAGTGAATGGCTTGCTGTTGGTGGTGGTGCTACTAAATTGGCTCCAGCTCACAGCCAGAGAATGAAGCAGGCCCTGATTTTGCCCGTCCTCATAATTGTTGCTCTGTTCGAACCCATTGATGTAGTTACTGAGTCAGCCCATCGCCAGGAGGGCCTTTTCCCCCCCGATTCTCTACAAGTATTATGTCCCTCCTGATAGCGTGCCCCAAATACATAAAATCTCATTAGAGTCACTTCTGAGGAGCGTGGTTTAGCTGTACATCTTCACAGGTGGCAGATGTTCACTGCTGGCAGTCCACAGCAGAGTCCATATCCCTTGTTTCAAATGCATCCTTTCTTCCTCAGTCGGCTTTATTCTTTGTCCACCTTGCATGTGCACGTGACCTGATTGAAAAGACCATAACTTGCGTCAGGGGCACCTTAACCTTCAAGGTGCCCTTCGTTTTAACATGTTAAGATTGCTGCCTGTGTTATGTTTTTTGATTTCTTGATTGTTGGTTCCATGAGCATTGATGGTGGATCTATGTAAAATGGAACCCATAAA